GATTCTTACTTAAGAAACGGCCAGAAGTCTGGCCGTTTCTTACGAACTCGCTCTCGCAGCGTTGCCAAAACTTTTAAATAATAAGTTTGGTTTACAGTTTGGCCCTCTGGAACCCATTCAGTCATCACGATTCCGTTAATGTCAAAAAAAAACGATTGGCATGGCTTTAAATTTTGATTACGACATCCTTGATTTTTATTCTTGGCGATGCGGGAGTTTTCTAGTGCATGGATTGTCGCTTAGTTTCAACATTGTATTAGAATATCCAGGTTTCATCGCAAGTGATGATGTTTTCCATTAATTCAGGCTCTTCATGTAACATCTCAAGAAAATCTGAGCAGATCTGTTGACGGACGAGCTTTTGGTAAGGGACCAACTTCGCACAGACTTTCTTCATGTTTAATTCTTTATGTAAAATTTTTCTGACAGCTTTTTTATCGGCGTTTACATTCTCAGCAATCATCCGAATGCTCATACGTCGATCTCTGTGCACAATTTCATTTATTTTGGTCACTGCGGAGTTGAAATAGAGACAGGTCAACCTGGACGTTGTTCATCTTCGGCGCTCTCTCGGCATTCAGAAAACAGTTTATACCATTCGGAAACACGCACACGAGATGGAGAAATCTTACCATAGGCCTCTTTCAACAAATTATAACACTCAGTCGGAGTTTTTTTAATTTAACGAGAAATTTCACAATCCTTTGCTCATATTTTTGGTCACACATTTTTATTGGCACGAGAAAAAAATACGTTCTTTTCTAATCTCTATAGAAAATATACTACTACAGCGACAAAAACGTGTCGTACTGGAAGAGTAAGCACTTCCAGCTATTCAATGCAGCATTCGTTTCCCACTCTTCCCCTCTAGGACGCCTTCTGCGCGCGCAGTCTCGTTATTTAATAGTCAGACCTCGTATAGTAATAAACGGAAATATCTTGAACAACAGAAAATTTAGAAGATATCACCGGTATTTTAGCTAACAGTCTAGATACACTACAATATTTAGTAAACAGAGCAAATGAATGTAGTATTGAGCACAGATTAGACACGATCGTGAGGAAAAACAAGTTCATAACTACCACAAAGCGACATAAACAAGGGACGTTAGTTATCGAATAAAAACAGACGGAGAGTGTTAGCAACTACAAATATCTACGAACTTTGAGAAATTAGAACAACTAACAAAGTTGATAAATAAGAACATCATGTATTGAAATAGTAAGCTTTTGAGAAGATGCAAAAAAATTTAAGCCTTTTGTGATCCTTATATAAAATTGCGGTTAAGATCATTAAAATAAACGTTTTATCTACTTTGTTATATGAGGTGGAAAGCTGGACATTACAGATAGAACAAATAAAGAAATTAAAGATACATAAAGGACAGTTAAGATTTGATTTCAGTATAGTGTTTCCACTAGTCACGTATACGTACGATATACTGAAATGTACTGAAATATACTGAAATGTCGAAATACCTACGTATTTCTGAGGACTCCTCAGAGCGAAATGTATACAAGCATTAAACATGAAATCAAATATTTTATTTTAACAAAATAATTGCATACGGACGCTATGGCGCTATCTATAAACAAAGAGTCGAAATATTGAGATTAAGTATAAAGTACGGATAGCTATGATAATAACCAACCTCCGATAGAAAAAGAAACTACAGGAAAAAGATCCTCTGTTAAGTACTGCAGATTTTAATAGTGGTATTTTGTCAACGATATTAAACTAAATAAGTAAGGTTATAATAAGAGAATAAAACTGATATAGCATGTTCCAAATCAAGTGCAAAAATAAAACGATGGTTCTTACAACGTATTAGAAAAGCAGTTTGTAATACGGACATTACGATACTACTATGCCTAAGGATTCTAGAATTTTTTATATTTATAACTTAAACAGTTATTGAAACCACGTTAAAAAACTTAAGTCCTGAGAAATGTGGCTAGAAGTCCTTAGAAATGTGGGGGAAGCCACCAGACTTTCGGATTGACCTGCATCGATTTTTACTACGCTGAGATTTCGACATCTTTCCTGATGTTTTTTTCAGGGCTTCCAGGGTCCCAGTCTCCTGAGCCCCGGACACTAAACTGTTGACTAATCACTGCACTACTGCTGCTGTAGGTGACGAATGGTTCATTCATACATTCGATGACGACGTAGTTCACTGACGTGGACTTTGGATGCAGATTGGCGCGAAGATTCGTGACGGCGGGATTTGGATTGGTAGCTGAAGCGGACAATGTTTTCTTTAGGATAGGTTTCCGAGTCAAAGGCAAACGGGTGCTGTCATCTCTTTTATTAAAACAATTTGGACGTTTTGCCATCTCTCTGCAATGGAAAAACATTTCTCTGCATTTGTTTATAGAAGCGGATGGGGCTGTGGTTTTAGAGTTTTTTAAATAAATTTTGTGACCTGTAAAAACTTGATGTATATTACGTCGCGTTCTAAGTAAGTTCTAAGTTCTAATTCTAAGTTGCCTATATATGACAGAGATATAAGTCTAACTGTGCATCGAGTATAATTTCACTCATGGGACAAAATTCATGAAATGAACTATGTGACAATTCTCTACAACTTTGGCTAAAATTAGGTAAAATAGAGAAGGTAACAATACACTTACATGAATAGAAGCAGTTCTTTATTCACAATTTGAATTCAACAAAAATATCTCAATAAATTGCAAATATTAAATTGCTATTTGTACCTATGTCACAAATTTTCAGTAAGAAACGAAATATTTTTACAGAAAAGATAGTGTGTCTCATGTTTAAGTTATAAATTAGACAACTTAAACCACAATATATACTCATAGAAACTAATATATGTACAGACCTATTTGATTGATACCATATTATCTGAAATAGTGTAAAAATTAAACTAGTATAGGATTATCCTGCACATATAGATTTTCTTTGGTCAATAAACAAATTTGGTTAAAATAGTTTTATATAAAAAATCAAGAAAAATAAATTAGAAAAATTCTTACTTAATTAAAATATATATTATTAAATAAATATATTATTATTAGTTTACAGTTTATTAGGCAGTTGCTTTTTGTATATTTTTAGATCAGAATCCCAAACAAAGTGGAAAGTCGTATCTAAATCTGTAAATAGACAAAACTGCTCCAAACTATGGTAGAATTTTAACTAACTTTTCAACTTATATAACTATCGAAACTGAGAATTATGGATATGTATAGAACGGTCACAGAATTCAGCAGAATTTCACAGAATTTCAAAGTAATTCCATTATTAAAACGGACTAGGCACAACATTTAATATTTAATATAAATGTATCCAAGATATCCAGACGAGATCGACATTCAAGTCCATAGTTCATGAGCAAAGCTCTTCGGTCGTTGAAGGCATTTACACTAAAAATGTGATACAAATGAAAAGGGAGAAATACGGAAATACTATATTTGTGTTTCTAATAGTAAAGTAATCAAATCGTTCAATCTCGTGATCTTCGGGGGTCCTACAGCCTCTGCCACGTCTCGAATTTCGATCTCCATTTTCGGTCGGTCCATTTTTCTTCATTTATGGTTCAATCTCCTATTATTCCTATTATTCGTTCTCTTTATTCTAATGCTGGTCTTCCTCTCTTATCGCAAGGAACATAGCTAGCTTAAGGCCTGTTTTGGCCTTCTGTAATCTTCCATACGTATTAGATGCCCGTACCATAAAACTTGTTTGGATTGATTATATCTACGGTATTGTAAATCCTTCTGTTCTTCTTTTTATATATTCATTTGAAATATGATCAAGTCTGGAAATCCGACACGCTCGTCTTAGATAGTCCATTTCTACCACTTTTAGTTTTTTCTTCACTTTAATTGTCATCTGCCAACATTCAGATCCGTACTTCAACATTGCTTTCACGTCCGACTTGTAGATTGTCATTTTTGTTCGTAAAATAATTTTAAGTAAAATAATAATAATAAATAAAAAAAATTTAAATAAAAAATATTTGTTGTTTTAAATATTTGAGTAGTTGTTTATTTATTCGGAAAGCTTGATTGCCTTTCTGAATTGTCTTATGTTTTCTGTCTTTACTTTTCTTTCCTATTTTCTCTAGTAGTGAAAGTTGGCCTCGTCTTCAAATTTGTAATTATTAGTTTTTACTAGTCGTCTTCCTGTCTCGCTGTTCAATCTCATATATTTAGTTTTCTTTCCATTTTTTCTCTTATAAGTTTTTATTTATCTGAATTAGTAATTGTTTGGGTTCAATTTAGTATTATGCTCTTTTCTTCTTTTAGAACATATTTTAAGAGAATTAAAGAGTGTGAAATAGATTGTATCTGTGTTTTTTCCCACTATTAATTAATTTATCTGTGATAATGTCCCACGGAACTTGATTTTACTGTTGTAAGTTTCCCGAGGTTCTATTTTGTTAATTCCTTTTTCAACATAGATTTTTCTATTGTATCGAAAGTACATACTTTTAAAGCTAATACAAGTTATGTAAAGGTTGTTGTTATATTCTCTAGTTGTTTGTATTATTTAATAATATGGCGGTGAAAAAATGAAGTAGAGTTGCCTTAGAAATAGCTTTGTACAACAGAAAATTTGGCTAATAATGAGTTGTAATACCAATAATTTTATTCCGATAAAATAGGTTTGAAAATGGCAGCAGTATAGGAATAAAGAAGTAAGGGTGGTAAATTACAGAATGAAAAGTTACATTTTATTAAAATTTGAGTTATTAATATGTATCTGGTATGCAGTATCTTAATAATTAAACGGATAATATAAAAAAGCAAATTCTTTTACTTAAGGAACTTTATGAAGAAGCCCTAAAGTGGATTCCCTGAAAAATAGAGCTTTTTTTAAGTTAAATTTTTGATTTTACTTCAACTCACGAGCGTACGAAAAATGCCATCAAACATTTATTTTTCTAATTTTTTCTTGATTTAAATATAAAACTTTTTTTGACCGAAATCGTAAAAAATAGCAACAAATTATTGCTGTTTTTTACCTTCAGCCCACTTCGCAGCAACATCAAACACTCATCATTGAAGAATTCGAACCTGACGTGTTCCGACAACTGATAGAGTACATTCACACAGGATGCGTAACTTTACAACCCAGAACCCTTTTAGGTAAGTGCCAAATACCTTATTTATTTGTTATATATATATATATATATATATATATATATATATATATATATATATATATATATATCGCACCCTCAGTGCAAGACCGCAGTAACTCAAAATTTTATGAAAATGAAGGAATCATGGAATTCGATTGTAAACATGCATATCTATCCCCTGTAAAACTTTAGTAACTTTCAAATGCTTAACCGCCTAAATATTACAACAACAACAATAGTTTAACTACTTTACGTTTTTTTACGTAAGTTCCGTGCAAAACTGTTGTAATTCTAAACTAACAGAGTTACAACAGTTTTGCACGGAACATTACAATGGTTTCGATAACAAGCAATGAAAGGCACGGAAAAAGTTTGATATTTGTTATTTTAATATCTATATATGTGGTGTATAATTTTAATTTACAGCGTGTCTACATAATTCATTAACGGCCGAGACAATAAACAAAGATTTACGAGACCAATCTATTCATGTAAGTTTTATGTCCTTTGTGTAACATTATATTTTCCATAAAATTCACCATTTATTTATTAGATTGGATTAAAAAAACATAAATTAAGAGTAATTATTTACAGCCTAAAAGCATTTTTTCTAATGAAAGGAAAAACAGTTACCTTAAAACTTCTGTATTAACAATACTGACAGGTTAAAATATCCGTTCTCAGAAAATTTGTTCTATAGAAACTAAATCCCAAATTGTATTAAATCTTCATGTAACCTTCCGGGGCAATTGTCTTATCATATTGTCCCCCCGTAATTCCCAACTTTAACTAAGGTAGTGAATTTCAATCCTTTTGTTAATCACTGTACTCAAGGTAGCCTGATTTGCATATTTATATTAGTCCTTTTGTTTTGAATTTAAATAAAAATATTAAAAGTTTTACAAATAATTTTTCTAACCTGTTATAACATTATCATTACAAAGCCAATTAATTGTGGCTATCAGGAACATGTGCAGATACAAAGATTAAATTGCCGCTAGCGATAAGCCGTTTTATTAGGTACCTATTTATTCTATAATAGGTAGCTATCTGATTTCTTGGAATCTATTAAATGTAAAGTTTAATACCTTACTAAACCTTGATTGCTGTTGGGGATTATTTGTTCTTTATTTACCCGATGATTTATTGCCATTCGGGTATGATACCAAAAGCCCACCATACTTTTTATAAAAATATTTTGGCCCAAGTTGATATACGAGAAGAGGACAACAATTAACATAAAATGTGTCTACACTTTTTACAATATTCTCCATGCAAAAGTGTTGTAACTTTAAAATTCTAATACTAAATGTGTAGTGATTAACAATTTTTTCCATGAAAGGTGTTGTAACTTTGAAATTCCAACTTTTTTTAGCAATAATATTATATTATTTAAATTTATATTTTTGGTTAATGTAATATAGGCTGAAAAGCATGCAAAATCATAATTAAATGTTAATTTTTCTTAAAACTTGTGTCTTATTTCAGCGATATTAGCACGAAAATAAACAAAATTGTCTTTACCTCGAAACTTACTTATTCTGACTTACTGCAGTCTTGCACTAAGGGTGCGATATATATACATATTCTTTAACCACTACTAATTTTTTTCCATCCAGATATATATTTTTGTTTAATTCATAAGGAATATGTGTAATTTTTAACAAAAAATACTTTTCTTACAAATAACCATTTAAATTTGCAGGTGTTATGAATGCAGCAGACTACTACGGCTTAGATGAACTACGACGAGCATGTGCTGGTTTTGTTCAGTGTTGTATAAACGTGGATACTGTCTGTGCCCTATTGGCTTCCGCTGAGAGGTATATACAGTACAAATGCACAAAATCTCTTGTTCAGAAGGTATGTATATAATGTCATTTCGCGAATTTACCTAACATACAATCTTACAAGTGATCATTATCATTAAATATGGTTTTTATATATGGGATTAATCCACAATTGGTTGTCATTAAAATTAGATTTTACACTAGCTTAAATTTGACATTTCAGTTTCCTCTTCGATTATTGAATTTTGTTGAAAAGTGTGTAACCGCCAAAGTTGAGGTTATTTCTTCTCAAAATATTGAATGGTGACTTAAGGTCGATTCAGACACATCAGTCCTCTCACAGTCTCGGCGCCGAACCGGTCCTGTTTGGTTACAGAACTATTAATTAACTGACAGCTGGGAAACTGTTCGTCGCCTGATGAATGTGAATGCCGGCGCCATATTTCTATTAAAGAATATTTTGTATGACGGATTGTTCGGTTCGGCGCCAGGACTGTGACGAGACGTGACTGATGTGTTTGCTGTTACAGTTAATTTGAACAGTTAATTGCTGTTTTAAAGTGACTTAAACTTATTTATTTAATACATAATATTTTTAATATTTAATGCATAATAATAATTATTGTAATATATACATCAATAATTTAGTTTTCGAAACATTTTGAATTGATTTTTAACCGTAAAAGTCTTAAGTATATTATTATGTTTAGATTTCATTATTTGACAGTTAAGATTAAGGTTATAAGGTTATTAAAAGGTAAACATTGTAGTAAATTAAATTAATTAATAAATTACAGAATTACTGTTAGTATGGATGCAATAATAAAAACTAGATTAAAAAAAAATAAATCATAAAATACCTTTTAAACTATCATATCATATTTACTGTAAAATACAATTAATAAATTATACATTAGATTACAATAAATACATTTAATTAAAGTGAACTTTAATTTAATGTTCACGTCAAACTTATTACGAAATCGAACTTTAGAATTTGGCTTATGTTACTTACTTCTGCTGATTATGATATAAATCCACCTTTTTCGTTACATTAATTTGTGCTTAAAAATTGGAAACCAATAGAACTTGAATTTACTATTTTTTGTTGTATTTTTACAATTTACAACACAGAATTTTCGAAATCCCATTTTCTTCAATAACTACTAATGAAATATGCTAACAAAGTTGCAAGATTTGTTTCTCGTATACCCTTCAAGTACTTGCACACAGTCAATATATTTTCTTTATACATTCCTTGCATATATAACGATTTTATTAACATGGACAATTTTCCAACCAGTTATCTCTTTGAATTCAAATTTGTTCTTTGAGTTCTTAAATCTACTATTTTAAATAAACACAAAAGATATTTTTACATTTTATGTTAATTACTTTTCAGGTTTTAGAATTTGTTGACGAACATGGAAATGAAGTATTAAATTTGGGATCATTCACTCTACTACCTCAGCATGTTGTTAGACTTATTTTAGCTAGAGAAGAGCTTCAGGCAGACGAGTTTACAAAATTTCAAGCAGCACTTATGTGGGGTAAGTTCACACGTAATATTTTGGGTGAAAATATATAATTAAATTATTATTTTTAATATGTCACAATACTTTTATTTATAAAATAATGACTTTATAGACATAACCATCTTATTTTTGTGCGATTTTAGCATATTCCAAAACTTTATTAGAGATCAATATTTAGATGTTCGTAAAATTTGGTAATGTTTTCGTATAAAAGCATACTTAAATAGTTCATACACATGCAAGTCTCTAACCACTGGCTTTAATAATAAGCTGTAAATGATGGCTTTAACAATAAGCACAAAATAATAAAGAGGCAAAAATGCTTCCTCCAAATATATATTAGTAGATATAGTACACGGTTCCTGGCACATCCCCTAAATCGCAACCCCTAAAATTGCAACCCCCGGTGGTAACTGCCAAACGTCTTTACGTATAATGACGTACGAGGTCTCGTTGGAAAGGGGATGGAAAATGTTGAACGCATTGGGTGCCGTGCGCATCGGAGCATGCCAAAAGGGAATTACGCCATATCTTTGTTTCTATTGGTCCGATCGTGACGTACGAAGGCTCGATACGTTATAGCGTCCATTTAACAATGCTGCCATCTTTATTTTTTATGTTAACGTATTTCCCGCCTCCTCCCCGTGCCAACGAGCACTCGTACGTCACGATCGGACCAATAGTAACGAACATATGACGTAATACCCTTTTGGCATGCTCTGATGCGCACGGCGACTACTGAGTTCAACCTCATTTTTCATTCCGTTTCCAACGAGCCCTCGTACGTCATCCTACGTTAAGCCGTTTGGTAGTTACGACCGGGAGTTGCGATTTTATTGGTTGCAATTTAGAGGATGTGCCAGGAACCGTAAACTATATCTACTTATATTTTAAGGTAATCCATTTTTTTATAAAACATAGGTAATTGTGGTTTTGTTCTCTTTATTTTAATAAAGCTTTGAATTCATTGAATTTCTTTCAGCAAAAGAATTTTATTTTAAAATTATACTTGGCCAACATTTTTCATTCAATTTATTTCACTATGCCTATTTTCATTCTGCACTTTTCCCTTTTTTGTTATTATAATATTCCATACTAACCTTTTGCCATCACCCTTTTGGTTTATGATAACTCAATAATTTTTGGATTTTTTGGTTATGCTGGCTTTTAATCACTGATTGGTTTATATTTTTAAGCATCGTTTATATTTATATATTTACGGAGTCCCACACATTTTTCTGAAACTATTGTCTTATAAAATCTCAATTTTTTCGAAAATACCTTTAGAAATAACGATGAGATTTAGCTACGTTTTGTATACATCTGACAAAAGTCCAACTAAGATAATATCCATACTTTTTTGTTTGGAATATTAAATTTGTTTGTGCCTTAGCGTACATTTCTCAAAGAACGATTTTTTTTATGTGTTGGAAGGTAAAGTACTTAAGTTCAAGTTTGTTGGATCACCACCCTTGAGCCCCGGTCGCCATCTTGAAGAAAGGGGAGAAATGGTTTTCGAAATATATTATTTCGTGGCAAGAAAAGAAGATTTACATGAATGTAAGGACTGCAAGGTAATAGTTAGTGAGACAGTAAGCCAACAACATAAGTTGCTTGTACTGGACATCGAAGTAAAAAAGTAAAACCAAACAGAAAAATTGGAGAGGGCCACAAAAAATCAAGTGGTGGATGTTAATAAAAGATAAGAAAGAAGGTCTACTCAGGAAAAAAAATAGTAGAAAAAACGGATTATAACATAATAGTAGGTCCTAATACAATTTCAAGGAAGATGGCCAGTATCCTTAGAAATACTGATATTCAAATACTTGAAAAAAGGTCAGGAAAGAGGATTGAGAATAAGGAGGCCTGGTGGTGGTCTAACGGAGTTCAAGACAAAATAATAGAAAAGAGAAGATTATATAAACAGTAGCAAGAAAAGATTTCGGACACAGATCTTCAAAACGATACGCTCGGCAAAAATACCACGAGCGAAAGTGGTAACAGCACAAACTAAAGCAGAAGTGTATAATAGCATATACCGCAACCTGATACCAGGGAAGGAGAAGCCATGATTTATAAAATAGCCAAACAGAGCAAAGAAAGCAAAATATTTTAACCAAATTAGATAAATCCGCAATATACTAAATCTATACTATCTATACGAAATAGTAAAATACTAATTCACAAAAGGAATATCAAAAAGAGATGAAAAACGTACTTTGACAGGTTATTAAATGAAGAGTTTGACAGATAACCACTAAAGTTAACGAAGATAGTAACAGCAATGGTGACCGAAATAACAACCGAAAAAGATGCTCAAGCAATTCAAAAAATAAAAAAAGGAAAAGCAGTTGGACCAGATGATATTCCTAGCGAAGTGTTAAAAGAATTAGTTAACAGGTCTGTTTAATAAAATTATGGAAGTTGGATAAATGCCAGACAAATGGAGAAGCAGTGTATTAGTACCTGTCTACAAAACAAGGAAGATGTGCAACAATGTATAAACTACAGGGCCATAACACTACATAGTCACACCATGAAAATATGAGAGAGTATAATTGGCAGACGGATACGTGAAGAAATCGAAATATTCGATGGTCAGTTTGGCTGTATGCAAAGCAGATCAACAACAGACGCAATTTTCATTATAAGGCAGTTGATGAAAAAATACTTTGATTGATCTTAATCTGATCGTTGATCTTAAAATTATTGATATCATGCAAGTAAAAATAGCAGGCAAACGCAGTCCAGGACGAAAAAGAACCTAATGGTTGAAGAACTTGCAAGATTGGTATAGTGTTGATACAATCATGCTGTTTAGGGTGGCAGCGAATAAAATTTAGATAGCTAAGATGGTAACCAACGTTCGAAATGGACATCGTACATGAAGAAGAAGATTGATCTTGAGAAAGCATATGATAGAACTCCTCGGGAGATTCTGTAGTGGGCACTCAGTAAGAAAGGAGTTCCCGGTGATTATGTCAAGCTTATGAAAGATATGTATGAGGAAGTAACAACTAGTGTTAGGACAGAGCAGATTTCACATGATAAATTTCATGTTAAAGTAGGATTACACCAAGGCCCAGTGCTTAGTCCTAAGTTTTATTCTCATTAGTTCTGGATCAAAGAACAGCAAAACTATAGGGTAATATTTCTTGATGCTTAATGTATGCCGATGATATAGTGTTAGTAGGAAATAGTAAAAGCGAAACTGGAACAGTGAAGACAAGTTCTTGTGAAAAAAGATTTCAAATTTAGTACGACAAAACCGGAAACGGAACTAAAATTTAGTACGAGTATTTGGAATGTTCATTTAAAGATGAAGTTAGTACATATATAATAATATATTAAAAGTAGTAGTTTTAAGTACCTAAGATCGGTATTACAGAGTAATAGGGGAATAGGTGAAGATAAATCCAGTAGAATTATGCATTATGCATTAGACGTTAACGTAGATGAGAATTCTTAGATGGATGAGTGAAGTAACAAAAAAGGATAAAATTAGGAATGAGTATATTAGTGGAAGTCTAAGGTAGCACCAATTGTTGCCAAGATAAGAGATCTTAGGTTAACATGGTTTGGTCAAGTTTAACTTAAAGACGTTAATCACCCAATACGAGAAATTGCTGATCTGCGGGTTCCTGGAAGTAGTAATAGAGGAAGACCAAAAAAACCTAGGAGAGACTCTTAAGCAGGAAATGTTGGTAAACAGTATTAATAGTGATATGACCCAAGATGACACTTATGGAGAAATGTAATTAGGGACGCCGATCCCGCATAGGGATAAAGGTAAAGAGAATGATGATGTACAAAAAAGTATCTTTATTAACGTAGTGAAAGAATTTTAATTTTTTATGTTTAGTTTTTTAGTCCTCAGTTCTTATTTCTTCTTCTCTGATTACTTTTTTAATATTTATTTTGATCTTATACTAAACACAAGTGTTATAATAAATATGCTGTCTTGCAGAGGTACCTCGAGGGATCTTGTCCAACTTTGCTCAGACGAGACCAGTATCCTTATTCTCATTTTAATATAGATTATATCGAATAAATTATTGTTGAAATTGCGTATTGATTGCAGCACAAATCAAAAAACGGGCAAAATGATGTACCATAAAGCAAAGATAATGGATCACTGACAATCTGGTGTAGCCTACTTGAATTTAACGAAAATGTGGATCCAGTATTAAATTAACATAAATGGATACCTCTATTCTCTTTCTTCATATTTTTAAAAACCTTGTTGTGTTTGTGTTTTATCATGCCTTATAAACGTCGTTTGTTTCTTCGAAGTATATTGAATAAAATTACCTCATAACGAACATTTAAATATTGAATCTAAAAAGAATGTTGTCAACAAAAATATTATTCTTGGACTGATTTGATAGGAAAGAAGTACTGCGACAATAATCCAACAACTAGCATAAAAGAGGTAGTTGGGAACTTTCTGGAATACATCCAATTCCATAAAATTCCTACCAACGTTTTAATGAGGGAAATATATCCTTTGGGATTACTTCCGCAGAGCCTATTTGTAAATGCCTTGGCATATCAGGTGCAGTAAATGTTGCTAGATAAATAATTTTGCATATTTTTTAGGATAAACAATGTGTAAGTACAATAAGTATGAGAAAATTGTTTGTTGTATTGGACAGGTGTTTCTTTTTTGAAAAATTGCTTATGATAATATATTATTATTGACAGAGTTGATTATTTTCACGTTTGCGCGATTTTTTTTTACATTTGTATTACCATACAATAAACAGACGATTTTATCAATTAATAAACACTTTTAATCTTTTAATGTCTCTAATGAGATGTTTGACGTTGGAGACGGACGCATTTATTTTCGACGTAATTTTGAAAGTTGATAACTAATGCGGACTATTTGATACTTGTTTGTCTATTTATCTGCCGATTTTTTATTTTAATATCTATTTTATTAAATGAGATTAATAATAAATAATAGCCCTATTAACGAAAACACAAAGAATTAAAGTATTAATTATTAATGT